AGAAAAGAAACACTTATTTATCCTCTCATTCCAGTTATGTCCAGTTCATCCTAGTGTCTTTCCTATTCCCATCCCCCTTCTCTTCCTTTCATTCCCCTTTGTCTAATCTATGCTTTCATATTAAGATGCCTAGGGGAAGATGCAAATTAAACCCAAAAGGTTTAGAAAAAAGAAAATAGTTTCTTAAATTGCAGATAATTACTATTCAAAGAGGAAATCAACAAATTCCAAATTTTGATTTTTTTAAAAAACTAATAAAGATTGATAAACTTTCAACAAAACTGGTCAAGAAAACACATGAACAATGTCAAGAATAAAAAATATTGGAACAGGAAAAATGGAATTGTAGAATGTCACGAACAACTTTATACCAAAACATTTTTAAAATGTAGAAAAACCAGACAAACTCATTCAAAAACAATGTATTAAAACTACTACAGAAAAAATATAGAATATGAATAGTAGTCTATTAAAGAAATTAAACTTCTAATACAAATATTCCCAAAATATAAATTTTTAGGACCAGATGGCTTCATCAATGCATTCTTCCTAAAATTTAATGAAGAAATAACACGAGTCTATCACAAATTTATTCAGGAATTAAAAATAGAAGGAAAATCCCTCAACTTACTTCATAAAATCGGCATAATTTTGATACTAAGGACATTACAAAAAAGAAACACCATGGTGTAATCTGTCCCCTAAACACATACATTAAAAAAATCCTTTACAAGTACTAGAAAATTTATTCCAGAAGTATATGTAAAACATTAATGCACCAATACAAATGATATTTTAATGCAAAGTTGGTTTGCCATTTGGAAATCACTGAACATAATTCAATATATTATAAAATAAGAAAAACTATATGATCATGTCAATAAAGTAAAAGCATGTAATTCTGTATCTATTCAAAATACAAAAGTTAGCTAATTTTTAATAAAGCATAAGTTTCTTACTTTGATTTTGTTGAAGTTATCTGAAAATCCTGAGATAAAGAATGAGACAAAAATGGGTAGTATTACCACTTTCTCAACATTGTGTCAAAGACCCTATACAATGCAATGAGATAAATAAGTAAAATGTTAAAGGAAGAAATAAATTGTCATTATTTGCAAATGATATGGCTTTTGCATAAAAATATTTACAGATAAAATTAATAAGTAAATCTACTATAGGCATTGATATGGGGTTGTTAAACTTCTTGTTATTATACTAGAAAATATTTTTAAAATAAAATTTATAAGTGATTTTATTTATCCTCTCATTCCAAAATGTCATTAGGAATAAATCTAAATAAAGGGATGCATGACCTCTGCAAAGAAATCTACAAACCATTACTGAAAGAATTAAAGAAGACATAAATCAAAACTGGAATATACCATAATTATGGATTAGAAGACTCAACCGGATTAAGGTTTTTTCAGAAGTTGACAACTGATTCTAAAATTTATATGGAAACACGAAGAGTCAAGAAATGTAAAGACAGTTTTGAATAAGAAAACAAAATTAGAAGATCAGAACTATGAGATATTAAGACTTATAAATTTACAGAAAATAAGTAATGTGATATTAAGATAAAGAAAGACAAATATGACACCAAGAGAATACAGAATAGAGAGGCAAAGACACTCATACACACATTCAAGGCTCATTTCAATAAGTGCTACTGGATCATTGGGAAAAAAATCCAAAATTTTACCTCTCTGTCATGTTATTCCTAAAATTAACATCAGATGGATCAAAGACCTGATCTGTTTTAAGGAAAAAACCATATCATTTTGAACATTAATTGCAGATTATCTTACTGACCATGAGACAAGCAGAAAATTCTTAAATAGCACTGAAATAACTGAAACCATAAAAGAATAGATTGACAGATTGGACTTTATTAAAATTAAAACCTTCTACAACTTATTAAGAAAAAATAAGATGTGGGAGTATAGGTTGGTGGTAGAGGTAACATGTGTGAGTCCCTGGGTTTCATCTCTAGCATCATGAAGAAAAGGAAAACTTAACTTTTGATAAATAGGTAAAAGACTTAACAGGCACTTACATACATGTGCGTGTGCACACACACACCCCTGAGCTTGCTCTCTCCCCTGTTTTCTCTTACACACACTTACATGCATGCACATGATATCTGAATTAAGTACAAGTACAAATGGGAACACATGTGGAGGATAGGACTATTCAAATTACTTTTTTTCACAGTTCCCTTGGTTCAGTCTTCAGGGGGAGGGCCACTGTGTGTTTTTGAGTTAGAATTGAACAATCTTGTCTGCAGGGGAGAAGGCAGCACAGGGGGAGATTTGTCCTTCTGAAGCTACATGTGTATATTTAGTCACTTCAGGGAAGTGATGTCCTCTTTTCAAATCCCATCACAGTACTCTCCATTGGCACTTCTCTGCCTTGTGCCTAGGTTCATGGAAATGGAGTGACATGAAAGAAGTAGAAGCAAAAGTCACACCCTGTGGGGATTAGTCCTGCCTCTGCCATTGGCTGTCAAGGTGATGTTTGGTAAGTTACTACATCTCTCTGAGCCTTAGTCTTCCCATGTAAGATATTGGGTCAATATTTATTTCAAAGGTAGTTACAGGGACAAAATGAGATTATAAATGTGAAAATACCCAGCACAGATTCTACGACATGGAGTTTTAAATGTAGAGGTGTAGAGAGAGAGAACTTCCTGCAGCTGGTAATACTATTTGCACTGTTTTTTTGCATGACTCATGCAACGTAAGGTCAGTACAGTGTACCTTTTTCTACTTATTAAGAACAATGAATCCATGCCCTCCAAAGACTATAATTTACTCTTGCAAGTATTTGTGTGTCAATCTGTACATTAGAATGCATTAATTAGTATCTATGTGGTTCTCTTATACATTAATAATTACAGAGATGATGAAAACATATTATTGGAGGGGGAAGTATGAAACAATCAATAGAAGTAATAAACACAAGTATTCTAGGTATTCTACAGTTATAAAAGACCAAACATATCAAATCATAATAAATTATCTTTTTTTTTTTTTAAAAAAGGACCTTGATAAAAGACCTGTGGGATGGATCAGAGTAAGATAAGCCATGAAATTGGCTTTGACTCACAAGACAGCACTATACTGAGGAGCAAAGTGAAAGTCAGAAACTAACTCTGGCTTAAATTCAGAGTTTCACACTGGCTTACTTTGAGCCAGACCCCCTATGACCTACATTTTTACAGCATCTTCACAAAACAAGGTCCCTGCATGGAATTTTCTTTCTCATATTATTGCCTGGAAATTGTTATGCATTTTTTGAAATCACAAACTCATTTCATTAAAAATACTTGTGAGGGAAATGGATGGCACTAGAGCAGATTATGCTTAGTGAAGCTAGCCAATCCCGAAAAAACAAATACCAAATGTCTTCTTTGATATAATGAGAGCAACTAAGAACAGAGCAGGGAGGAAGAGCAGGAAGAAAAGATTAACATTAAACAGATACATGAGGTGGGATGGAAAGGGAGAGAAAAGGGAAATTGCATGGTAATGGAGGGAGACCCTCATTGTTATACAAAATTACATATAAGAGGTTGTGAGGGGAATGGGAAAATAAACAAGGAGAGATATGAATTACAGTGGATGGGGTAGAGAGAGAAGATGGGAGGGGAGGGAGGGGGGATGGTAGAGGATAGGAAAGGTAGCAGAATACAACAGTTACCAATAGGGCATTATGTAAAAATGTGGATGTGTAACTGATGTGATTCTGCAATCTGTATTTGGGGTAAAATTGGGAGTTCATAACCAACTTGAATCTAATGTATGAAATATGATATGTCAAGAGCTTTACAATGTTTTGAACAACCAATAAAAAAAATTAAAAAAAGAATATACATACCACAAGTTTCTACTATTATAAAGAATTCTCAACTGTATCATAGACAATTTGCCAAGGGAGAATAATAGCTTACATATTAAATGACAAACCTGTGGTTTATTATGATAGAAATCATAATAATTTCATGCATGAAATATTTTACCAGACTTGAAATATATCTTTAATATATAATGTATTTAAAAATTATTAAATTGTTTAAAACTAAGAGAATAGTGTTACACACACAAAAAAAATACTTGTGAAATCCTTAATATGTATCTACACTAGATATCAGGGATAAAATGGTGCACAAAATCAAACCATGACCTCATTCTCATGTGCTCAGCCTGTGCACTAATGTCCCTGTAAAACTTGCCTGAGCTGCTTCCTCCCCTGTCCTTGAAGCTCTGGGTGCACACATGGTATTGAAGAGCAATCTGTGTGTTTACTGGGCTGTTACTCCAGCCTGGGAGGGGGGCTCCACAGAGGAAGGATTAGGTCTATTCATTCTTTCTCCCCCAGTGCACAGCTCAGGATCTGACACATAGTGGGCACTCAATAAATGTTTGTTGGATGGAATCATGCATTATTCATGAGGTCTTGACACATTCAAATCCGTTAAATGAATCTATTTAAGAATATTAGAGAAATGAAAACAATTATATTCAGGAAAATTACATCTTTTTGAAACAGTCTTTGTTTTTCTTATTTTATTAGCATTTTATTAACAGCCCTAGCAGCTGCTTTAAAAATGTCCATATGCTCATAATGTTAGTGGTTTCTAAAAGAATGCATAGTATTAATGTAGTTGAAATGATACATGGTCGGCCTTTTCCTGGGAAAAAATAAAATGAGCTTCCATTTAATTGGAAATAGCTATGTATATAAATGAGTTAATATATCAGGGGATCTGTCTTTTCTAAAACAATCAACAATGGTTCATCCAGAGATGGAAAGTGATAGAAGACATTAATAGAATTTGACTTCATGACACCAAAGTTTGGCACATCCTACAAACAAAGGTAACATCTTTTACTTAAACCATTTAGTATAGATCTAAAAGTTTTCTCAAGATCATAAAAGGTACTGAGTTATTTTTGAAAAAAAAATGAAAAAATGAAATGGCCATTATTTGTGCCAAAAAAAGGTGTGGGGGGGAGAAGAAGTTATTCTTCAAGTAATACAAGGAGATTTTGGAAACTTAAGTAGCACAAACATCAAGGGAACTTTGGAGATGAAGAGATACAATTTCCATCTGCTTATCTTGAAGTAAATAACATGTTTAGCCTTTAGTCATCTTGTAAAAACTTCCTTAGAAAAGGATAAAAAAGTGAAAGTATGAAAGTACCTACTTGGTCTGGTGTTTAGATCCTTTCAGGTGGGCATGATACTGTTCTATTGAATTTAGGGAGACACTGCAGATGGTACATCTGTAATTGCGCCTCAGACCTGTGGACAACAGACAGACCTGGTTAGCTCCATCTGGATCAACCACCTGAATGAATTCTAGAACATTGAAAAGTTCAAGGACAGAGGACTTCCTAGTTCATACCACCCACTACACTTCAATCCCTCCTTCTGGATCCCAGCCAGCAGATCCCTTAGTAGAAGTGTGAGTTTGGATATATTAGAAGCAGCCTACCCCATTTTGAGATGACTGAAATTATGGAGATTTGGTTCTGTGAATTGAAGCAAAGTGTTTCTAGACATTCTATAATTCCAAAAAACATTCTGTTTTTTCCCCCTAAGTCATACTGATAGCTGGTTGTCATCTCTGAAGTAAAATTTGAAACATCAAAAAAAAAAAAAAAACAAATAACAACAAAATTCTCTTTCCCATTCCTTTTCTACCTTTTTTCCATTGGCAGAATAGGAAGTACAATTTTAGACATCATTCATTTAGTTTTCCCTTCCATCATACAAGATGGAAATACCCAGGAGAAGAATAAAACATCAATCTGTTTCACACGAAGTATGCCTTTCCAACAGAGAGTTTAAAAGACAGTTTATTTCATTAATAACAGTATCAACTATGGGCCAGGCACTAGGGATTCCAAGATGAAGAAGATAACTTTTTTGCTTGCAAGGAGTTCAGCAAATTTCATAACTATTTTGTAGTATTGACTCATCTTGAGACAAACTTGTGTTACAAACAGCTTTTACTAAATAACTTTAAACATCTGCCACAGCTCAGAGACCCACACTGGAACACTTTCCTTCTGCTAGTATGTCCCTTCAGAGTAGAGAGAAAAGAAAAGTTGGTCATGATCTGAAACTTTGGATTATATCATAGCTCAAATATCCCCGGTTGTGCAACCCACAGAAAGTAACATAACTTCTTCCTAGCCTCAATTTCCTCATCTACAAGTTGAAGACAAGCCCAACTACTTCACAATGCTGTAGTAAGAACTAAGAGAATAAAATGTTTAGCAAGTAAGAGTGATTAATATTGATTTTGCCATAAAATTCTGGTTTTCCTATTGTAAAACCAAAGACATTAAACAACTACAGCGTTTCTTTCTAATTAATGCATAGTATTTTTTTTCCTAAGAGGCAAAGCTATTCCCTATTTCCCTAAGAAAATAATGCATAATGGTTGAAAGATCTTTGCAACTTGTTACCTGGATCACTTTATGCAACTTATTTGACTTCTGTAAACTTCTGTTTCCTTTTAATGTTGGACTGAGTGACATATTCAATGTGTATGGGAGGGAGAGCCTGGTATGTAACATATGATCAATATAAGTTAGTTATGATTATGATTTTGGATAGATATCAAAATGGAATCCCTTATGTCTCAGGGATTTGACATCTTGCCCTGAAGTCTTGAGACAGATAGCAAGTGCACCCCCATTACCAAAGTGAAAGAAGAGACCCCAGGGCAGTTGGGACATTCAAGGCAAATGAGCAAGAACCAGTGTCACACCACAAAGTGACCACTCAATGCCGGTCTACAAGGGAGTGAAGAAGAAATCAGAAGTGTCTTTCTGAAGAGGGAGCTATATTATACTGGAAGTTCCATCTTCCCTTCTCCACAGGAGAACACTGTGCATTTCTCCCCCACTTCAAGCCTATCGGAGATGTCTTAATAATGTTACCTAGTGAGATTGAAGAGTATCTTCTTGCACTTGGAAGCTATGAACTGGAATCTGCACTGGCAAGACCCAAAGTACTAGTGACTGTGACTCATTATCAACTCTGATGGAAAAGTACAAGAGGTGGCAGGACTGGATGTGGCCTGTCTTATCAGAGCTTGTCAGACCAAATTAGTATTTTCTACAGACTATGTGTAGACTATACATAAGAGTAGCTGATTTAGCAATGTCTTAGATAATGCACAAGAGGGTATTACTGAGTTACAGAAGTTGAGGGCAAAGAGACCTCCATAGAAAGTGTTCATCTAGGTACTTAATGTGGCCTCAGATGAGATATTTAGCTGATATTAAGTAATGGTGAGTCCCTGATAAAGCCCAAGAGAAGAGTCAGTTTGCAGTCCCTTCCATTCAAAGAGCATCTAAGCTAGCTTTGTATAGAAGCCATCAAGCTAGCTTTCATTTGCCATGTCTTTTGAATTCTTCACCCTGCATCTCTCAGCCCTAGAGAAACGAGAGGAAATCTACTGAAGGGGGAAAAAAAGTGAAGTCCTAGAAGACAAGCAAAACTCCAGGCAGAGAAAAAGAGAAAAAAACCTAGCATATTTTCTTTCTGACAGCAAGCAGGCAGCCATAAGTACAGAGCTGGAAGAGGGGGATACATGGCTTCTAAAACTTTGGGGGATATTTTAAGAATATTGCTCTATCCTGAATATATTAATAACTATCAATGAGGAGCATGAAAGTGGAAGTTTATGACATGTCCTAATTTTATTACAAAGGGTAGGAAAAAATGAACCCATTCTGTAGGCTCTCTATTCACCTCATTGATTGTTTTGTTGGCTGAGAAGAAGCTTTGTCGTTTGAATCCATCCCATTTATTGATTCTTGGTTTTAATTCTTGTGCTACAGGAGTTTTATTAAGAAAGTTGGGGCCTAAACCAACATGATGGAGATTTGGGCCTACTTTTTCTTCCATTAGGTGCAAGGTCTCTGGTTTAATTCCTAGGTCCTTAATCTACTTTGAGTTGAGTTTTGTGCATGGTGAGAGATAGAGGTTTAATTTCATTTTGTTACATGTGAATTTCCAGTTTTCCCAATGTACAATTTCGGTGCCTTTGCCTTATACAAGATAACTGAAGTTATATGGGTTAGACTCTGTGTCCTCTATTCTGCACCATTGGTCTACAGGTCTAGGATATACAATCAATCAACATATGAAAAAATGTTCAACATCCCTAGCAATTAGAGAAATTAAAATCAAAACTACTCTAAGATTTCATGTCACTTCAGTCAGAATAGCAGCTATTAAGAATACAAACAACAATAAGTGTTGGCAAAGATGTGGGGGAAAAGGCACAGTCATATATTGCTGGTGGGACTGCAAATTGGTACAGCCAATCTGGAAAGCAATATGGAGATTCCTTGGAAACCTGGGAAAGGAACCACCATTTGAAACAGCTATCCCTCTCCTTGGTCTATACCCAAAGGACTTAAAAACAGCATACTACAGGGACATAGCAATATCAATGTTTATAGCAGTACAATTCACAATAGCTAAACTATGGAACCAATCTAGAATCCCTGAATGGATAGGGAAACTCTGGTATATATACACAATGGAACATTACTCAGCAATAAAAGAAAATAAAATCATGGCATTTGCAGATAAATGTATGAAGTTGGAGAACATAATGCTAAGTGAAGCAAGCCAATCTCTAAAAAACAAAAGCCGAATGTTTTCTTTGATATGAGGATGCAGACACATAATGGTGATTTTATTGGGAGCATGGGAGGAATGGAGGAACTTTATATAGGGTAAAGGAGAGGGAGGGGAAAGGAGGGGCAAGAGGTAGGAATGATGGTGGGATGAGTTAGACATCATTACCCTAAATATATGTATAAGACACAAATGGTGTGAAAATACTCTGGGTACAATCAGTGTCTCGAAAAATTATGCTCTGTATGTGTAATATGAAATGAATTGCATTCTGCCATCATGTGTAACAAATCAGAAGAAACTTTAAATATATATATTTTTAAAAAGAAGTGAAGGCAGAGCTCCTCCTCACAAGATAGTTCCAGTCAATATATTTAGAAGAAAAAATGATTAAATTACCATTTTCAATATAAAACAAAAAAACAAAAATCAAAAACGAACCCTGCAAACACAATTTGAATGGTCAGAGGAGGATAAAAATGAAGTTCCCTTCTGATGACATCACATCCAACAGGTCCTGCTTACTGAAAGTAGCAGTCATCAGACTTGCTTTTATGTCTACAATTGAACAAAGAACAGAGCTTTCTGGGGTCCTTCACACTTTTATGTTCTGATGCACATTTCAGGGAAATCTATGTGCAATGTCCTGTGTAAGCTGGGTTGGTTAGTTTGAGGACTGTTCATTTCAATCACAAGCTGACTTGTCTAATTGTTCCATTAAGAGACAATTTAAAGGAGATGAAGCTAAGTGGCAGAGTGCTTGTCTAACATGTACAAGGCCCTTGGTTTAATCCACAGCACTTAAAAAAACAAGAGAGTCAATTTAATTACGGAAGAAAAAAAGGATAAAGCAACAAAACTACAAATATCCAGGATCTTCTCTGGAAAGTCTAAGGAACCCAAAACTTCTTGGGCATGGCTTCCAAGCTCAGAAATATAATAGACAACTGTCGAATCTTTACTTGCTGGAGAAATGACTCTCAGGTGAGTGCAGATACATCCTCCAGTGATAGTGCTAACCTTCAGATTCCCAGGCAAAACTTGTGGACATGCCGATTCTATAAGTTTTGGATGGACCCTGGAAATGTATACAATACTCATCCCTACCATGTTCTCACATTTTAAAAAGAACTCCCCCCACATATTTGTACTCCTTTGGGAAACTTGAAGCCATCACAACAATACTGGGTCTTCAAAAGAAAAAGAAAAAGAAAAGCTATTTTATAAAGAAGAGCTCTGAGCCAGGTACAATGGTTCAGGCCTGTAATTCCAATGACTTGGGAGGCTGAGGCAGGAGGACTGCAAATTTGTTACACAGCTTCAGAAACTTAGCAAGGCCCTAAGCAACTAAGTGAAGCCCTCTCTTAAAATGAAAAATAAAAAGGGGTAGGGATGTAGCTCAGTGGCAAAGTGCCCCTGGGTCCTGTCTCCAGTACCAAAAGATAAAAATAAAAAATAAATAAAGAGCGCTACTTACATTGGCTTTCCATTTCACAGGCAAGCATGATTCAGAAAGATTATCACAGTCCCCAAACCCAGAGGCTGTAAGTTATCACAACCAATGTGGAAGTTGTCTGAAGGCTTATCCGGGGCTGATCCATTCTGCTCTTTTATGCATAGAATCAAAATATGAAAAC